ATGAATACTTGGCAGTGCGCGTGGAGAGACCCCGTGGACTTCTGCGCTTCGATCGACACGTAGTAGGCATCAACGCGCCCGAACGCGCCCCCCCCGGGCTGAGCATTACTCCCGAACAGGTCCTGGCAAGGTGCCCCATTCTCCGCCTCGTTGCACCGCGGGCAGTTCGGACAGGTCCGCACGCCGAACAAGTGACGGAGCGTGGCGTCCACCAGGATACGGAAGCCGTCCACGCTGGCCATGGGATCTCTCGCAAGAATTCGTCTGCGCTCGTTCCATGGCGGCACTCCTGCCTCCCCCGTGGCCATCGGCAGGTCCATGTGCAGCCCATCCATGTCGGGGGCTACGCGCGGCCAGCCCCGACCCCCCGCCAGCCGCGAGTGCGCTTCATCATCAGCTGCCTTGTGCACGGGGTCCTGCCGGCGAGTGCGCGAGAGTCTCACCATGAGCAGATTGTGACCTTCGTCGGGCGAGAAGGTTACGAATATGGGGACGCCGTACCGCACTCGCAGCGCGTTCGTCTCAAATCGCATGACTCGACGCGCTTCCTGCGTCCCAGACAGTCGCCGCGAAGTGTGCTCTATGTGCGTCAGCAGCTTATGGGCGGCTTTCCCCAACCCTGGCACGTGCCGCACTTTGGTCATGTCGCCGTTTACTTTCTGTTTCCTATTGTTGATGTCTACGTACTTCCCGTCGAGCGCGCGATAAATCTGCTTCGCTCCTTCCGCGATTTCCGCGGGAGTGAGCTGTTCGACCTCGCCTGATGCGTTCGCTGACACATACGTGAACCACGTCCTGCTCAGGTTCACAGCCGATCGAAACACAAGGTTCCACGACGCGAATCCGAAGTGCCAGTCGCGGGAAATCTGGCTCTCCACGCGACGACTCATTATCCTCACCCACAGCGGCAGCTCCACCCGCGGCGCCCCGTTCCCCCGTCGGTGGCGCGGGCGCTTCATGAACTCTGGGCAGTCAGGCATTCCCGTGCAATACTTAAACAAAACGCGAACGCGACGCCGAAATACCAGGGCTCGAACTGATCCATCATAACGTTTCCAGTGCGCACGCGGAGCCGATCCACGCGCTTCCTTTCGCGCCCGGCCTGAATCAGCATGTCGCGCTCCACTGCTTCTCGCGCCGCCTCATCCGCGCCCGAGGCCGCTCCCTCGCGGACGCGGCCGCGTTTACTTGCCCGTTCTGCCTTCCGCCGCCTTCCTCGTCCTCGCTGGAGTTCGACGTGTCGTCGGCCCCGCCATGCGCGCACTCCTCATCTAGCCGTTGCACGAAGGTCCGCACGGCCTCAATCCGCTGCGCATTGATGTCTCCCTCGTCGAAACTGCTCTTCTCACACACCACAGCGTTCGCCTTCGTGGTCTCCAAAATTTCTCCCGCCTCACGTAGCCCGTCGGGCCTCGGCACGGGCGTCGCCGCCTTCTGCATTTTGATATTCTCAAGCGCGTCGTCCAGGGGTACCAGGCGCATGATCTCCGGTGGCACGCCTTCCTCCGGAAGCTCCATGGCTCTTTTCCGGACCTCATCCATATCCACGTTCTGGTACGCGCGATGCCCGCGAGCCTTCGCCCCCTCGATGAGATCCACGGCGCGCGAGAGCCTGGTGCGCGAACGTGGACATGCTTGCAGCAGTATCGTCGTCGCCGCCCGACTTCAAGATCACAGACACGATGCCTGCAAGCTCCGCGCCCGTGCGTGGAAGTGCCGGCGCATGCCCGTCCGCGGCAGCCTCTTCAGCAGCAGCCAACTGCGCTAGAACGTCCGTCCACGGCATCGGGAACGACGTCGCGTTTCCGCGGGCCGCCATGCGGACCTCGTTCGCACCCACTTCCATGTCAAAAGACCGCTCCTTCCGGTATCGTTTCTCCAGTGTGAAGCACACCATTGATGTGATGCAGACTGAGGCGCAGATCATCTCCAATATCGTCACCTTGCTACCGAACAGTTCTTCCGGCGAGTAGAAAGCCATCATATCATTGGCCAGCGCCGCGGGGGGCATCGTCGCCTCGCCGCGAACGCCCACCATCGCGTTCTTACACTCACCGCACAGCGGGGCTTCACAACATCTGCACGCCGTGTTCTCCGAGTGCCACGTGCCACTGCCGCGCCGCATGTCCTCGGGGCAAAAAAGTCGCGGAAGAAGAGGATAAGGCCCCGCAGAAGCCCAACCTGGCCTCCAAATGCTCGGAAAAGAACCCAAGATCTACCAAAGACGGCCCAACGTACCCTCTGGACACCAGGAACCTGAAGTCGCCGGACAACTGGAGCGAACCCCGAGAGGGCATCTCAGGACCGTCGCCCCGACAAAAAACACAAACGCCTAACCTAAACGAACGCAGGAAGGCAACCCCATTGACCCCTGCTTGAGAAAGTTCCCAACCACGAATTCAACTGTACGGGGAACCTCCTTTGGGGTCGGCGGCAGAGGCGGCAGCCTTTAGATCATATTTCGATTGTGGTCCCACCTCCGCTGGCCACGCGATGTTGCCCATGTAAACTAGCGCTGTCTTGACGATCAGGTGGGACAAATGCATGAAAAAAAAAAAAAAAAAAAAAAAAAAAAAAAAAAAAAAAAAAAAAAAAAAAAAAAAAAAAAAAAAAAAAAAAAACACCACCATTGTAAAATCCATGTTCGGTGTATCCTTCATGACTTCTTTTACCATTGGTGCAAGTCCCATATTTTCACTACCACCGTCGCTGCCGAAACAATAATGGCAACATGAACCTGCGCGTGCTCCAGCCGTCTCGCGCCACTCTTCCCACGAAGGACAACCAATGGATTTGAATTCTTGTCATATTGATAGGTATGTTTCCTTCGCGCTGCCACTATCAACGCGTTGTAAGTCTCCAGCGTTGTTACTCTCCTCGGCGTTTCTTTCAAGTGTCCTGACGTCGTCCGCACCTTGCGTGGAATGCAACACAACGCTTATGAACAAGGCTCATGTGGACTTTCTCCTTCTCGCAAGCCTCGTGTTTGCTGCTGTCGCCCCGAATCAAGTGCATTTCGATTGTGCTGCCGATCGATGCGTTGCTTAAGCCATCGTAGAATTCTCTGCTTCTGATTCGCTTAGCAACGGCGGCACGACGCTCATGCAATAACACGGTTTGTGGGTCTTTTACTGAGCCTGCCAGTTCTGATCCTGCCACCATGGCCGTCGTGGCCGACGCACTTGCGTGGGCAATGTTCCGTCTGAGGGCTAACGTATAGCCCCCGTGCGGATGCACGTGCCCACCTGGACCGGGCCTAAATTGCACCATCTGAAGCGAGTGACCACGTTCTTTTTTCAATGTTTCAATGTCCCTGTCGCGCAGTGCAAGCTGCGTCTCTAGCTTCCGATTGGTGCGCTCTGATGTGTGTAACTCTTCTTGCAATTCTGTGATTCTCTGATCTCTCTCAATAACTTCTATGGCTTCCTCTGCGGCGTAGCCAGCATACCTGTCATGCGCGTGTTCATCAAACTCTGCCAATCTCAACTCCGCGTCGCCATGTGCCCTTCGGGATCCAATTGGTACGGGTACGGTTGCACTGGCACGGGATGGTTGATATATGCGTCTCAAGACATGTTCCAGATCCTCGTTTGAAAAAGATTTGTGGCAGAATGCAATAAGCACGCTTGGCAATAAAGACACGTGGAAGGATTGCTCTGCGATGCGGTTTCCCTCCACGGGGATGGGATCATTTAACGTCGATTGATCAAAATCCCCAAGATATCGAATGAACCGTGCTTTCATGCTGCGGTTGGTGTTGCGGTCGGTCGATCCCCCTTCATGCAAATGACAAATCAATTGTGTTGCCTGGTTGAACGTTATATGGGACGAGTGTAGAACAATACCTTTTTGCCTGCAAGCAATGATAACATCTTCCCGAAACACGGTCGTGCTGATTGGGCACGCAGGTACAAGTTGAACAGACTGACGCAACCAAGCTCGAGTTTGAGCCTAACTAGCTTTGGAACGGACGGGGATAATTTCGTGTTTGCGTGGTGATTGGCGATGAGTGCTCCGCCGACCCCTTTACCCTTTTGTGGTCATGAGACGTGTGAGATACTGATAGCACTAGTCCTTCCTCCCTCCTCTTCCTCCTCCTGCCAATGACGTGATGGTGCGTTGATCATATGTACGCTACTTCAATGTAATACCAGAGTGATGTTGGATGAGGGACACCCTAGACCATTGAAATCATTTTGAACCTACCAAACTCCCAAATCGCACTACCCACCAATAGCCCCAGAATAATAAAAAATGTCCCCCAACTATCTTTGAACTATTTTTGAATTTTCCTCCTGTAGAGGGACAGGCCCGACTCAATCCTGCGGTCAGGAACTCTTGCTCAGCGTGTCGCGGCGGCGGCCCCGCCGGACCGCTGTGCCCTGCGAGCGGACATCTAGCGTGTGGCTCCGCTCCGCTGGGCGGGCGAGGCCCGGTCAGGCTTCCGGAGCATGGGCGCCTGGGGCAGCCGTCTGGGAGGCGGCTGGAGTGTGGCGCCGACGCGTGGTGGGCCGGGCGCGGCGGCGCGACGCGCGGAGCCCAGGTGCCCGACCGTGCTCTCCCCCTCGAGCACGAGCGAGGGACAGAAGCACGCAGACCCTCCGCCTCCTCCGCCTCCTCCTCCTCCTCTTCTTGCGCGCAGCGCGCTGGGAGGGATTTTTTGGGGAGGACCTGTCGACGGCCGCCCATGGGTGTCCGAGAATTTGTGCTTACGCGGCCTTGTCGCTCTCTACTCTCACCCTCTCTCTCCCTCCTCCCTTCTGCATGCCTCCTCCTCCTCCTCATCGTCCTCGTCCTTCTCCCTCCCTCCCTCCCTCCTCCTCCATCTTCTCCTCGTCTTCCTCCTCCTCCTCCTCCTCCTCCTCTTCCTCCTCTTCCGCCTCCCTCCTTCCCTCGCCCTTCTCCTCGTCGTCGTCGTCCTCCTCCTCCTTCTCCTCTTCCTCCTCCTCCTCCTCCTTCTGCCTCCTTCCCTCCCTCCCTCTTCCTTTTTCGCTGGCGGCCTCGGCGCGGAGCCGTTCCACCAAGAACTCGAGGTGCTTGCGCATGCCGTGTTCGCCCTTGGGCCTCACCTGCTGGCTCGTGCTGGACGAGGGAAAAAGCGAGGAGGAGAAGACGAGGAGGGAGACAGAGGAGGAAGACATGATAAGGGATGAGGAAGGTGCGGGCGATCAGAGGGGAGCGAAGTTTAAGGAGTAGGATGATGATGATGATGATGATGATGATGATGATGATGATGACGATGATGATGAAGATCAAGGGTGGGGGACCAACCTGCCAGGACGATAGCAGCACGCGACGGCTATGCTTGAAGGCTTCCTGCAGGAGAGTGGGGAAGAGGATAATGAATGAGGGAGAGCATAGTCAGAGGATAAAGACGAAGACACTGATGATGATGATGATGATGATGATGATGATGATGATGATGCTGATGCTGATGCTGATGCTGATGCTGATGCTGATACTGATACTGCTGATGATGAGGAGGAGGAGGAGGAAGAAGAAGAGGAGGGGAAGGAGGAGGCGGAGGAAAACGCCGTCGAGGGCGACGACGACGCTGAGGTGGACGAGGTGAAAAAAGGGGGAGGGAGCGGGGGAAGCAAGAGGCAGCGGAGGACTGCTGGGGGGCCCTGGGCCTTGAGAAAGAGGTTGAATCGGTCGAAGGAGCCCGAGTCCACGTACGGATCCCTCAAGCCCAAACTCCTGACGACGGCGTCGCGCCCCCTGCCTCCCGCAACCAATTTTTGTCCCAGGCTCCTCCCTCCTCCTCCTCCTCCTCCTCCTCCTCCTCCTCCTCCTCCTCCTTGTCCTCCTCCTCCTCCTCCCAGGCTCCTCTTCCTCCCAGGCTCCTCCTCCTTCTGCTTCTCTTCCTCCTCCTCCTCCTCCTCCTCCTCCTCCTCCTTCTCCCAAGCTCCTCCTCCTCCTCCTCCTCTTCCCCCCTTTCTCCTCCCAAGCTCCTGACCACGTCGTCGCGAACCCGTGGCGCCGCAGTGGCTGTCAGGGCCATCATCGGCACGCTGGGCAGCTCCTGCGTCTTGCTAATCTCTCCACGGGCGACAGACACGACGAAGGGTGCGACCTTCCGCAGCATCGGTATTTGTGAGGATAGAGGGGGCAACCACTCGACAAACAGGCTGATGGGAGAGTTCTGAGCACGCACTCGCTCTTCTCGCCGGCCCCAGCAAGCGCAGACAGTGATAGAGAGTGCGAGGAGGAGGAGGGAGAGGCGTAGAGATAAGGCTTGTGTGTTGCTCTCTCTCTCTCTCTCTCTCTATATATATATATATATATATCTCGACGCTCTCTCTCTCTCTCTCTCTCTTTCTCTTTCCTTGTTCCAAGTTCCCCTCTCTCTCCCCCTCTCTTTCCCTCTCTGCCTCTCTCTCTACACTTACACATTATGGACACTACTCTCCCCTCTCCCCTGACTCTATCTGGAAGATGTCCAGCCCTTTCTGCGCATAGTTTCTTACCCACCAGGTTGGGCAAACGTGTTTTTGTAATGCGGCTTGCAATCCGAATGTTATCGGTGTTTCAAAATGATGTTCCCGCTGCAGCGTGGGCCTGCTTTTTGGATCGGCGCTTTGCTCCCGTCGCTGAGAATTGCGCTCTCGCCCCAGCGCGGGCTTCGTTTCTGGGCCCGACTCCTTCCTTGTCGCCCCCCTCCATTCATCTTCTCCGCCTTCCCCTGGTCCTTCTGCTCCTCCCGCTCCTTCCGCTCCAATTCCCGCTGCTGCTGCTCGTTCTTGTCCTTCTCCTCCTCCTCCTCCTCCTCCTCTTCCGCCTCCTCCTCCTCCTCCTCCTCCTCCTCCTCCTCCTCCTCCCCCTTCCTTCTCCTAATTTTCCCCCCTGCCCAGCCCCCACTCTCCGATTGCGCAGAACACGATGGGGTTTCTGTTGCTCCCCTCGTACTTAAGGACCACATCCCAGAAACAACTTCGAGCACCCAGAAAAGTATCGAAACAGTGTCGAACAAGACGAGACAACAAACAACGCAATCACCAAGCATACCGTGCGCCGCCGACGCCGGTCCCGTATCTGACCGGTGGCAGCGCAGCGCGCGCAAACGCAACGGGCACGAGCGCGTGCTGTGCGGTGCAGAGCCCTGCTTTCCAGATTCGCCGAGCTGGGGAACCACCGCGGCTGCCAGCTCCTCGCCGTCGCTCGGACGTCCATTCCCCGTGCATTTTTCGGTTCCGTGCGCGTATTTTGTTCGCGATGATCCAAGATGCTCCTCGATTAGAACAAGAAGAAACTGCATGAACCCAAACTTTTGGCGCTCCGCGGGACTTCTTCGATCTGCATTGGATCCCCCTCCCCCGGCGCGCGGATCGCGCAAGGGGCGGCGCCAAAGGCGCTGCCAGGGGTCCCAGCGCGGATCCAAGAGATCCGCGCGGAGAGCCAACAGCTTACTCCAGATTTCGTAATAAAGGGAGGGGGGTCTCATTTCGGGGGGGGGGGTCCAGGCTATCTTGGAGGGCCTGGGGGGTCTGGGGACGATGTTTTGGAGGGTTCTCCCACGGGGGAGGTCTGAAATGGCTTGTCTTGGAGGGTCCAGACCCCCTCCCTTCTATTACGAAATCTGGTTCGATCGATGGTCCTCGCACACGTCCGAGCGCTGCCAAGGCTTCGGCTTTCCTGGAGCCGCCCTCTCTGGCAAAGGGCCCGCCGCTGGCCGCCGGAGGCGCTGCCGCGGCCGCGCGTGCCGGCTCCTGCTCCTCCTCCTCCTCTTGCTCCCTCTCCTCCTCCTCCTCCTCTTCCTCCTCCTTCTCCTCCTGCTCCTCCTCGTCCTCCTCCTTCTCCTTCTCCTCCTGCTCCTCCTGCTCCTCCTCCTCCTTCTTCTCCTTCTCCTTCTCCTTCTCCTCCTCCTCCTCCTCCTCCACCTCCTCCTCCTCCTCCTCCGTCTCCTCCGTCTCCTCCACCTCCTCCTCCTCCTCCTCCTCCTCCTCCTCCTCCTCGTCCTCTTGGATTTCGCATGCATGTGGGGCAAGGAGCACACGCCGTGGGCCCAGGCTTTGAGCCCACGCTGCGGGTCCAGGCTGCGGGCCCACGCTGCGGGTGGCGCTGTGATGAACCCACGCTGCGGGCCCACGCTGCGACGGAGGAGCTCATGAGAAAGGGCCTGCTGCTCATCCTGAGCGGCAGCTCTGCCTCAACAGCTGGTCCTGGCCAGCGGCCTGTCGGGCGATGGCTTCACGCTGTGCGCACATTGCGACATGCGAAGGTGGGAGTAGATGGCGAGGGGGAAGAGGATGGAGGGAGGATGATTTAGGATACGATGAGACCTGGTGGGCGCTACGAGTTCTGCCTCTGTCGACAAGAAGAGGGCACCACATGGGTGGATGAAGAGAATGAGCATGGGGAAGACGCGGAGCAGCCGCAGGAAAACATGAGGCGCATAGGCCCCCCTCTCCTCTCCAGAAGCACCCCCGAGATCGCCAGAGGTCCGCGGAGGCCTCCTGGGTTCCCCAGAGGCCCACAACAAGAGCCCGAGACGTCCCAAAACCTCGATCCTCGAGACCTCGATCCTCGAGAACGGGGGCCCAGACATTTGGCGGGTTCCAGGACCTCGCGATCCACTCCCTGGGCCGCGAAGACTCCGAGAGTGGAGAAACACTATAGTCCGTCTTGTCTTTCGCTCAGAACTCTGGCTGCCTGAGAGGGAGGATATGGTGTGGTGAGCAGCAGCGGCACTATCGGCAGGAGGGACGAACTCTCCTGGCGCACGCGCCCGAGCTGCTGGTACTCGGGGCGGAAGTCGTGCCCCCACTGCGACACGCAGTGGGCCTCCGACCACGCCCGCGGTCCCCCGGCAGCCGATGACGCTATGATGGTGGTGATGGCGACGATGGTGGTGAAGAGCACACAATATCGGGCGTTGGCAGAACTGGGTTTAGTGGAACCTGGTTTAGGGATCTGTACCGGGGGCGCCCCCCCGTCCCATTTCCACGAACCAGAACTGCCGCCACCCGAAAAAGCACCAGCTGTGGCAAACCTGGTTTAGTGATTCTGGCCAATTCAAAGGCTCCGGGGCCCCACCACTAACCGGGTCCCCTTACCTGGGGCCCTGGCCATACCCGACAATAGAGAAATGATGAGGAGGATGAGGGGGATGAGGGGGAGGAAGGCATAGGAGAGGGAAGCAGGGAGGTGATGAAAGACGGGAGGCTGGAGGGGGGAGACGAATGGGAAGAGGACGAACACGAAGACGCAATATGGGCAGCAAGAGGATACGGAATGTAAAGGAAAACGGTGGAAAGGGGGATGCGGCAGATGAGGTAGATGCTGATCATGATGATGCACGCGGCGACGTAGAGATGACGAGGCTACTGAATACAAAACGAGGAGGACTAGGGAATGTAGCAGACAGACGGTCCTCCTCCTCCTCCTCCTCCTTCTCCTCCTCCTCCCTCCTGCTCGGGCAGCCTCCTCCCTCTACGGTTGTGATGGGGAGAGGATGAATCCATACCTACCGAATTAAGACTCTGGCCGAGCAAGGACCCTACAGCCGAATCCCTGAAATGCCTGACAGCCTCTAGCCCATACACCTCCTCAGCCCTTTGACCTCTCCTCCTCGTCCTCCTCCTCCTCTTTCCGCGGCGGCCTTCTCCTTCTCTCCACCTCTCCCTCCTCCGTCTCTCACCTTTAGCATCTCCCGCGTCTCCTCCTCGCCCCCTCAAACATTATCCTCCTCGCCCACTTGCTCATCCTCCTCGTCTTCATTCTCCTCATCTTCATCCTCCTGCTCCTCCTGCTCCTACTCCTCCTGCTCCTCCTTCGTACCCCTCCTCCTCCTTCGTACCCCTCCTCCTCCTCCTCCTCCTCCTCCTCCTCCTCCTCCTCCTTCTCTCTTGAAAGTCCCTCTCCTCCCCCCCTCTCCGCCTCCCTTCATCCTCATCTCTCCCTCCGCCCCGTCGTCCTCCGCCCCGTCTGTCCTCCTCCTCCTCCTCCTCCTCTCCTTCTCTCCGTTCGCTATTCCACTTCTCCTTTCCACCTCCTTCTCCTCCTCCTCCTCCTCGCCCTTCTCCTCCGCTATTTCTTCTCATCCACGCCTTTTCGCCGGCATGCTGCCCACCCAACCCGTGACGTCAGACAATCATCGATGCCTCCTTCTGCTCCCTCTCGCCCACCTCCTGGCCCCACAAGGCGGCCGAGCGGCACCGAGGCCTCGTCCACGGCCACCAGCTTCAGCGCCTTGGAGCACTCCCCACGCCCCCCACCACGAGGGCGGGACGAGGGAGGACGAAGATGGGCGCCCTCGCCCCCCCTGGCCCTCCCCCTCGACGAAAGCGTGGTCTTTCTCGGAATACATCATGCACCACAGGGGGCATTATCAGGAAACGCCTGCAGCGCCACCCGCCGCAGCGAGGGCGGAGGGGTGACGAGGGACGGCGGAGGGACGAGGTGGGAGGAGGGGGGGGGGAAGAGTGGGAACGAGAGCGAGAACGCGCGATCCGGCACTGTCGGTTGCAGAAAGGAAGAGGGGGCCTGCCCGGCCTGGGGCCACCCACCGTCCTGGATCGAGGCGGCACAAACACGCCTGCCTGTGGGGGTCGGGGGAGGGTGACTTACGCACGGGCGCGCCAGCTCACGCCGAAGCCAGTGAGCATCATGTCCACAACGCTCGCAGAACCTTGGGAGAGGAGCAGGGGGGGAGGGGAAAGGGGAGTGAAGCACGGGGGAGGAATGAGGGGTGGAGGCGGAGGGACGGAGAAATGAAGGGTGAACGGGCTCCCCCTTCCGCCGCAACGTCGACAACCGCAATCGGCAAAAGTCATAGCAACAGGCCAGAGTGCCGCGACCAACGGAAGTGTCATGACCAACTAAAGGTATGTAAACTGGGCCCCTCGCCCTCATCCTGATCGAGGTCTGATCGACGGGCCCAGACGTGCTCAGCTCAGCGCCCCCCGCGCGGCCATCTCCCGGAGGCCGACGAGAAAGCCTTCAGACATCATCTTCTCGGGCGAGACGTAGACCAACTGGTACTCGCCGCGAAGCACCCTGCTCTCCTCTTCTCGGTCAACCTCGGGAGCAGATAGTGGAGAAGGAGAGGGGGTAGGCCGAGAAGCAGGAAGATGAACCCTATGACGATGACGTCGACGATGGTGTCGGCAATGGTGATGACGAAGACGGTGACGACAACGACCCCACAACGTTGGTGGTAGCGATACTCGGCGAAGGCAACCGGCGGCGGGGCTGCAACTGCGACAAGGAGGCAGGGAGGCGGGGAGGCGAGGGGGGGGGGGGGGCGAGGGCGACTGTCGCGCGGCAGCTCCTCCGGAGGCCGATCGCCGCTGGGCCATCGCACACAGCGCCGCACTCGAGGCTACGTGAAGCCCTCCGCAGCCCTCGCGGCGCGCTCTCGCTATGCGGGAGCCTCTGCAGAAACCGGCCGGGTGCGCGCCGGGCCCACGCCGCCAGCAGGATCGCCGAGCGTGCGTGCTTACTCGCATGAGGCGTGCCAGCTGCGCCTGGCGTGCTTCCAGGAGACGCGTACCTTTGAAGAGGCCCCAGGACACATACATAAATACACACAAATACAACAATTCCCAATGTTTTCCTATATTTTCTGGGCTTTTGTCTTCCCCCCACTTCCCATATTTTCTTCTATTTTCCTGTGAGTCGACGAATAATTGCGTCTGTGTGTGTTTTCCCCTCCTGAACCTGGTTCAAAGACGGCCACGCTAAGCAGGTCCTCGCCCTTTTCCATTTTTGGTTGAGCCTTCCCAGGGGTGCGCTTTGCGCGCGTTCCCCCGAGGACGCGCGCTATTCGCATGTGGCTTCCAGATCTCGTGTGGGGGACGGACAGGATGCATTGGATGAGCTCAAAGGGCACGAGAAGAGAAAGGGGCATGGGATGCAGGGGAGGCCAGGAGGACGAGACGGAGGAGGCGGTGCCGGCAGCCAGGTCGGCTGCGCAACCTGGCGCGCGACACATCCGCACGCCATCGATGTTGGAAGATCGAGGCTTCTGGACGCTCGGGATAGGCATCTGGAAGCCACGAGGAGGGGCCTTGCATGTCTTTGGCCCTTGTTGGGCTTCCCCAAGCTACCGAGGTTCGAGGATCAAACGCTTTAGGATGTATTTTGCTCTGTTTGTGGCTCCAGCGGCCATCGACGTTCGAGGATCGAGGGCTTTGGACGCATTTGGCCCTTATCCCTGAAGGGGCCTACGCAGGCCATCGACGTTCGAGGATCGAGGCGCGAGACGTGGACCCACCATCGACGCACTGAGCACGCGGGCGTGCGGAAGCCATCGAGGTTCGAGGGTTGATGCTTCGAGAAGCTATGTAGACTATAACGTTCGAGAATCGAAGCTTTTGAATGTATGGTGCCCTTTGTGGGCATCCGCATGCCATCGACGTTAGAGGTTCGAGGAGTCTGAACATCTTTGGCCGTTTTTGGTCCACGCATGCCGTCGAGGTTCCATGATCGAAGCTTCTACGATCTTGATCTGCCCGTGTGGATCTCCTGAAGCCGTCGACGTTCGAGGATCGAGGCTTTCGGACATCTTCGGCCCTATTTGGGCCTGGGCAAACCTTCGAAGTTCGAGGTTCGAGGCCTTTGGACGTTGTGGAGCCTTGTGCCGGGGCCTCTGGACGCCATCGACGCTCCAGGGCCGAGGCGTTTAGACGGCATTGGCTCCTTTGAAGGCCCGCGGAGCGGAAAGAGGATTTGAACATCAGCGCATCTGCCAACATGTACAACAGAGGGCGGCGCCTCCTCGCTGAGGGCGGTCAGCGGGGCGCCGGGGCTGGACCTGACCAGCCCTGGACCCCCTGACCGCGAAGAGGAAGGACCGCGTGGAACGCCGACGGCACCACGAGGCAAAAGCACCTCCCCGAACACCACGTTTAAGCAGAGACCGACCGTCCCGGCATTCCTATAGGCCTACCACGCCATGTTCTTAGATCCCAGATGCTCCTAGAACCCAGATGATCTTATGTGCTGAAACAAGGCAGTCCCAGCCAGACATATTCTAAGATCACTTCGTGGAAGCCACACAAGGTTCTTAGAACATTGTTTGGTAGGCCTATAGCCGGGGATGGACCGACCCCCCTTTACTGAAGTGTGGTTTAGTGAAGACGACCTCGTGCCCAAACCTTGCAAGCCTGGAAAATGACGGCCGCGGCGCCCTCTGGAGAACCGAAAACGGCCAATTCGCTAATCGACGTGTCAGGGTAGGAGGGCCATCCCCCCCCGATCTGGCAGGCCTGCAGACACGCCAGGACGCCTCGCCACTGCTTGACACGCCACAGGGCCCGCGAGGGGGGAGCGCCGCCACTGCCCGCCAGGGGGCCGCTCTCGAGCGCCACCCGCGCCCGCTCCCGCACGTCCCCCCCCCCCCGTCGGTCGGAGCGCCTTCAGCGGGCCCGCAGCAGCCGCCAGCGCGGCGCCAGCACTATTTCTGTTCGGCGGCGAGCGAGGGGTGGCACTGAGAGGGAGGAGGCCTTCTCAGAAGGCGGCGGGACTTCTCAGAAGCCCTCGCGCCTTCTGAGAAGTGTTTGGTCTTCGGGGAGGGCTTAGGACTCTTCTCAGAAGGCCGGGGGACTTCCGCACCTTCTGAGAAGGCCTTCTCCTTCGTATTTCCCCCCCTCGCTCGCCGCCGATTTTTGTTTTGTTTCTTTTTCCGTCGGCGGCTCGGCAGAGTCACTGCGCTGGCGGATGAGCTGACTAAGCGGAGGCACAGTTCCAACGAATTGTGCCACTGTGCTTAGGTAGGGCGTGTCCCGCTACAGGCGGAATTTGGACGACGAATAAGACATAGTCGACAAATACTCCGAGATAACCGAACATGGCCAACAAACGCGCATCCGCCAACGCGACGGGCGAAGCCTCGGCTCCGGCCACGGCGCGCGACGTCTGCCCGGCTGTCGCCCTCCAGGCCCGACGTAGGTTGGGGAGGAGGAGGAGGAGGAGGAGGAGGAGGAGGAGGAGGAGGAGGAGGAGGAGGGAGGGGGAGGAAGAGGAGGAGAAAGAGGAGGAGGCCCTGCTGCTCCGGCAGCGGCAGGCGCCTCCGCGGCACGCCACTCAGCTTGCCGTCGCTCGGACATTTCCCGTGCATTTTGCGGTTTCGTGCGTGTACTTTTTTTCCTCGATGGTCCAGGATGATCCTCGATGGTTCTCGCCGAGAAAAAATGCACACGTCCGAGCGATGCCAAGTCAGCACCTCCGCCAGCAGCAGGCGGACGAGCGCGCCGCGCAGCGCGCGCCTCTGCCAGGCGGCGCCGCCGGCGCAGCGCTCCACCTTCGCTGCCAAAGGCGCCGTCGGCATCTGCACATACACCTCCTCGTCGACCGCGTCGACCGCCTCGTCAGCCGTCGGCACGCGCGGCGCAGCCAGCGCAGCCGAAGCTGCGGCTGCCACGCCCGCGCGGGCGACCGCCGCGATGCTGCGACGAGGCGCACGGCGTCCACGGCAGCCGCAACGAGGGCGGCAACGAGGGAGGGCCCCTCTAGCCCGCGCAGCAACCGCCGCGGAGGACGGCGGCGCGGGCATGCAACCGCTTGAACCACAACGGCTACGGAGGTGGGAGGAGAAGGGGGTTAGGAGGCGGAGGAGGCGTATGGGGGAGGAGGGGGAGGAGGAGGAGGAGGAGGAGGAGGAGGAGGAGGGAGGAGGAGGAGATGAGGAGAGGAAGAGGAGAGAGGAGGAGGTGTGTGGGAGGGGGAGGGGGAGGCCCGGCACGTGAGACATGGGGTTCTCGTACGAAGGCCGCCGCCAGTGGCGTGAGCCACGCCCGCCCCGGGGGCCCAGAGGGGGCCCGAGGGGGCCCCTCCTCCTCCCCTCCCTCCTCCTCCTCCTCCTCCCTCTCCCTCCCTCTCCTCCTCCTCCTCCTCCTCCTCCTCCTCCTCCTCCTCCTTCTCCTCCTCCTCCTCCTCCTCCTCCTCCTCCTCCCTGTTCCTCCTCCTCCCTGTTCCTCCTCCTCCTCCTCGGGATGCTTCCCCGCACGTTAGAATCTTTCGCGTTGGCCGCCCCCCACACTCTTTGTGCCAGGGGGGCCCTGGTTCACCGAGGGGTGGGCGGGTGGGTGACAAGGAAGGGAGGAGGAAGAAACACGAGACAGGAGAGCCCAGAATCGAATCGATGAGTCGAATCGGCGATCGAAATGAATCGGATCGCCAAACATCGGCAGCCGAGTCGGGAAAAGTCAAATCGGTAGACGTCGGCAGGCTAGTAGGCCTCCATTGGGAAATCGGAGCCCAAATCAGCAGGCGATGTCGAATCGAATCGGAATCGGAATCCATCGAAATCGAATCGAATCGAATGGGAGGCATCGAAATGAGCCCTGTGAGGGAAGATGGGGAGGGATGGAGGAGGCCTGTGCGGAGCCCAGAAACGTAGCCACGCGCCGCTTGCCCTGGCCCACGGTGTAGTTGATCTTGATGCACTGGTCGCGCATCAGAGAGATGAGCGGCGACACGACTACGACGCAGCTGCTCTCCGAGATCAGCGCCGGCACCTCGGGAGCGGGGGCGGACAGGGCAAATAGGAAGTGAGCGTACAGCTAAATCTGAGGGTGAAGCAAGGCCGCGCCACGGTCCCACGCCACGGCCACGTGGCGCGAGCTTCAAGATCACACGGGATGACGTCATGCTCCAGTTGCCCTGACCCCACGGATGCCGCGACGGACATGCCATTTCTGTCCTCCTGCTCCTGCCCCTCATCCTTCTTCGCAAATGCAGATTGTGAGTGCTACTCTCCTCCATCCCAAGACTCTGTCTGGAAGATGGTCGGCCCTCTCCGCGCACTTCCTCTGAGACACGAAACGTCAGGCCCATGGGAGTTCCAGCATTGGCACCTCATCTGTGCTCTCGATCGAAACGCTTTCGAAACTTAGCAAAACGGTGCTCCCGCTGCGCGGTGCTGCGCGGTGGCCTCCTTTCATCGAGGTCGGCAGAGTGCACCTGTCGTTCAGGAGGAGGAGGAGGAGGAGGAGGAGGCAGAATTGCGCTTTCGCCCAAGCGATAGCCACACTTCTGGATCCGCACGCTTCCTCGTCGCTGTCGCCCCCCTTCTGTCTCCCTCCCCCGCCTTCCCCTGGTCCCCCCTGTTCCTCCCGCTGCTTCTGCTCCTGCTGCTGCTGCTGCTGCAGTTCCTCCTCGTCCTCCCCCCTTCTAGTTCATCCTCCTGCTCATCCTCCTGCTCATCCTCCTGCTCATCCGCCACCTTCTCCTCCCATATGCACAGGTTCCGTTCTCAGACTCCGCATGCTACCACCGAGGGTCCTGAGAGGCGTCAGAGGTCCGCTATGGCACCCGTCGGCGGATAGAGAAGCTGTGGGAAGGAATGGGCGAGAGGGGTAGGATGAGAGATATGGCGCGAGCGCACCTCGCTTGTCCCCATCCCCTCTCCGTCTTCCCCCTCCTCTTTCCCATCCCCAGCCTCTCTTCCTCCTCCTCCTCCTCCTCCTCATTATGATCCTCTTCCCTCTCCTCCTCCTCCTCCTCCTCCTCCTCCTCCTCCTCCTCCTCCCTCCTCCTCCTCCTCCTCCTGATCCTCTTCCCCTCCTCCTCCTCCTCCTCCTCCTCCTCCTCCTCCTCCTCCTCCTCCTGCTCCTCCTCGCCTGCTTCTTATGGTACTCCTCTCCTCCTGCTACTCCTCCACGCGGCCCTCCTCCTCCTCCTCCTCCTCCTCCTCCTCCTCCCTCCTCCAGGACCGCCTCGGCTCAAGCCTGTCGCCTCGCAGGACCCGCCACCGCGCCGTCCTCATGCCGCGCTCGTCCGCGGCTGCCGGCTCGGCACCGGCGCTGGAGGCCCCCCGGGGGGGGCCGCCCTCGCGGCCCCTGCCGCGGTGGGGCCGCGCGAGGCGCCCGCGGGGGGCGGCGGGGAGGGTCCGCTCCGGGGCGCTCGCCCCGCCCGAGGGCGCGCCCGCGGACGCGGCGGGCCCCCCCGACGGCCCCCCCGACGGCCCCGCCGAGGCGCCGTCGTCGTCGTCGTCGTCGTCGTCGTCGTCGTCGTCGTCGTCGTCGTCGTCGTCGTCGTCGTCGGCGTCGGCGTCGTCGTCGTCGTCGTCGTCGTCGGCGTCGGCGTCGTCGTCGTCGTCGTCGTCGGCGTCGGCGTCGTCGTCGTCGTCGTCGGCGTCGGCGTCGTCGACGTCAGATGTGCGGGGCACGCGAGGTCCCGGCAGCCGAGGCGGCGCGATAAGGCTGAGCCTAAGAGGTGTTGTTCGTTGTTCGTTGTGCTGTCCGTGCTTCCTCGTTTTGCCTTCGCTTCGCCTCGCGTGCCAAACGGAACGAAGAACCAGACGGCCCACGAGACGGCCAAAACACGCCGTTTGGGTCCAGCCCTGGCGTGACAGGGCAGTGCGCCAAGGACGAGCAGGCGAATGCCGAGGAGGCAGAGGGAGCCACTGTCGTGCAGGCGGTGGCCCCTGCGGCGCCTGGGGCGGCGGCGGGGTGATGGCCGACGACGTCAGCATACATAGAGCCGCCGCCCGACGAGGGGGCGCACGAGGCGCCGCTCGTGCAGGGGCACGCGCGCCCTGCGGACGGTTCTGGCTCGGGCAGGGGCAAGTTCAAGGGCGAGGTCACGGGAAGCGCGGGCGAGGACCCGAGCGGGGCACGTGATCTTTTCGTCCAACGCGCGCCGTCGGCATCGCGGAGTGCCTCGGCCACCGCGTCGGAGACTGCTCGGCCCTCAGCGGCGGCGAGCTGCACACCAGGGTCAGCCTCCACAGAGGAGCATCGCGCGTGCATAAACATAAACTTTCGGAGGTCCAAGCGGATGTATCGGATCTGCGCTGGAGCGCCAAGGTTGGCGCAGGGGGTGCCGCCAGTGGTTCAAGAACTCTGGGCGGAGCTCCGAATCTGTTTATGCAGTCGCTTCTCTTCTTCGACCACAGGAGGAGCTGGCTAGCGTGGCGGTCGTGCTGCCGATGGTGGCCGTGGAGGTCTGCATCGGCGATGATGTCTTGGCGTGCCAAGCGGGACCTGCTCTAGAACAATAGCATACCGCAGACGGATCTACCTACCCTTTGTCAGACCTGCGCAACGGCCGCGTTTTCCACAGACGGATCCACCCCAACTGTGGAAAATCAGTCTGACGAAGGACCCAACCATATGCAGGTGTGAGTACCGCAATTGTGATTCACTTTTTCGGTGGTGATCAATATGAGCTAAGAACCTTGCTAGGGGTGTGCCGAAATGAGTGGCGTGGTACACAACGCGAGCGAAAACGAACAACACAATGCGGACTGCGCCACGGGGACCTTCCGTGGGGCTCCATATGGGGCCACGAAGCGCTGTACTGGGTGAGGGGGACGCATGCGGACTGCGCCACGGGGACCTTCGGTGGAGTGCCCTATGGGGCCAGGAAGCGTGTGATGGGTGTGCCGAAATGAATGGCGGGGACGCATGCGGACTGTGCCACTAGGACCTTCGGCGGAGCCCCTATGGGGCCACGAAACGTGCGAGGGGTGTACCGAAATGAGAGGCGGGGGCGTGTGCGAGCTGTGCCACTGGGACCTTCGGCGGAGCTCCTATGGGGCCACGAAACGTGTGAGGGGTGTGCCGACATGAGCGGCGGGGACGCATGCGAACTGTGCCACTGGGACCTTCGGCGGAACTCCTATGGGGCCACGAAACGTGTGAGGGGTGTGCCGAAATGAATGGCGGGGACGCGTGCGAACTGTGCCACTGGAGCCTTCGGCGGACTTCCTATGGGGCCACGAAACGTGTGAGGGGTGTGCCGAAATGAATGGCGGGGACGCGTGCGAACTGTGCCACTGGGACCTTCGGCGGCGCTCCGATGGGGCCACGAAACGTGTGAGGAGTGTGCCGACATGAGCGGCGGGGACGCATGCGAACTGTTCCACTGGGACCTTCGGCGGAGCTCCTATGGGGCCACGAAACGTGTGAGGGGTGTACCGAAATGAATGGCGGGGACGCGTGCGAACTGTGCAACTGGGACCTTCGGCGGACCTCCTATGGGTCCACGAAGCGTGTGAGGGGTGTGCCGAAATGAGTGGCGGGGACGCATGCGAACTGTGCCACTGGGCCGACATGAATGGCGGGGACGCATGCGAACTGTGCCACTGGGACCTTCGGCGGAGCTCCTATGGGGCCACGAAACGTGTGAGGGGTGTGCCGAAATGAATGGCGGGGACGCATGAGAATTGTGCCACTGGGACCTTCGGCGGAGCTCCTGTGGGGCCACGAAACGTGTGAGTGGTGTGCCGAAATGAATGGCGGGGACGCATGCGAACTGTGCCACTGGGACCTTCGGCGGAGCTCCTATGGGGCCACGAAACGTGTGAGGGGTGTGCCGAAATAGTTGGCGGGGACGCGTGCGAACTGTGCCACTGGGACCTTCGGCGGAGCTCCTATGGGGCCACGAAGCGTGTGAGGGTGTGCCGACATGAATGGCGGGGACGCATGCGAACTGTGCCACTGGGACCTTCGGCGGAGCTCCTATGGGGCCACGAAACGTGTGAGGAATGTGTCGAAATGAATGGCGGGGACGCGTGCGAACTGTGTCACTGGGACCTTCGGCGGAGCTCCTATGGGGCCACGAAGCGTGTGACGGGTGTGCCGAAATGGGTGGCGGGGACGCATGCGAACTGTGCCACAGGGACCTCCGGTGGAGCTCCTATGGGGCCACGAAGCGTGTGAGGGGTGAGCCGAAATGAATGGCGGGGACGCATGCGAACTGTGCCCCTGGGACCTCGAAACGTGTGAGGGGTGTGTCGAAATCAATGGTGGGGACGCATGCGCACTGTGTGTGCCACTGGGACCTCCGGCGGAGCTCCTATGGGGCCACGGAACGTTTGAGGGGTGAGCCGAAATGAGTGTCGGGGACGCATGCGAACTGTGCCACTGGGACCTTCGGCGGAGCTCCTATGGGGCCACGAAACGTGTAAGGGGTGTGCCGACATGATTGGCGACGCATACGAACTGTGCCACTGAGACCTTCGGCGGGGCTCCTATGGGGCCACGAAGCGTGTGAGGGGCGAGCCGAAATGAATGGCGGGGACGCATGCGAACTGTGCCACTGGGACTTTCGGCGGAGCTCCTATGGGAGCACGAAACGTGTGAGGGGTGTGCCGACATGGGTGGCGGGGACGCATGCAAACTGTACCACTGGGACCTTCGGCGGAGCTCCTACGGGGCCACGAAAAGTGCGAGGGGTGTTCCGAAATGAATGGCGGGGACGCGTGCGAACTGTGCCACTGGGACCTTCGGCGGAGCTCCCATGGGGCCACGAAACGTGTGAGGGGTGTGCCGAAATGAATGGCGGGGACGCGTGCGAACTGTGCCACTGGGACCTTCGGCGTAGCTCCTACGGGGCCACGAAGCGTGTAAGGGGTGTGCCGAAATTGGTGGCGGGGACGCATGCGAACTGTGCCACTGGGACCTTCGTCGGAGCTCCCTATGAGGCAACGAACCGTGTGATGATGTTGATGATGCTGATGTTGATGATGATGATGACGACGATGATGCTGATGTTGATGATGATGATGACGACGATGATGATGATGATTATGATGATGATGATGATGATGATGATGATGATGATGATGATGATGATGATGATGATGATGATGAGAGGAGGGGAGGAGGGAGGAGGAGGATGAGGAGACGAGGAGACCGTCTCTTCAAAACGAGGGCCCAACAACACAGGTTGGTTGGGAAAAAA